TTTCTGCTTCTATAGTTGTTTTTTTGTTATTTATGTACTGATGTTCTGTAGGAATGGGAAGTGGTAGTGCTGGAAAAGAAGGGGGGCCATTTAAAGCTCTTTTAAGACAACAGACGCAGCCGGCATTGGAACAGAGGGTAAGATTCACTCAACATTCTTTATTTTTACACTGTTGATGTGATTGTAGTATCAGTCTTCCATGTACTTATAACTTATTTCCACACTGCTTTTGGTCATGTATCTGTAATGTAATTTCAAAGTCTAAACTGTATTTAAGGTATCATAGTGATTTGTTTATGTACAATAACTTTTAATTTGGAATAATTGTATAACTATTTTTGTTTTATCCTTCAATTTCTAACTAGAAATAGTCTATTTGCAAATATTCATTGAAGGTGAAATTATTTCTAATTTTGCATTAAAATTATAATATATAAAAAGAAATAATAGATATTTTTCCTGAAAAAAAGTTAGTTTTAAACATTAAAAGTATATTATTAGTGTATTAATATTTTTATTGGCTGAGATTATATTTATTACTGGCCAATCTCTTTAGCATAAGAAATGCACAGGTTTCATATTTCTATGGATTAACATAAATAATGTGGTTGTTCAGTATTTGAATACATTTCTTTAGAATATTATAGGTTAACATTTTATTGAATATGTTAAATGGAAAAATGAGTAGTTAAGTTATTGGATGATTTTTCTCTTTTCATTTTTATTTTTTAATAAACTTCAATGCTAAGGGAGGATCGCCTCATAGGTTCTGTAGAAGGCGGGTATGTTCCTAAAACATGTGTGAGAGCCTATTTCTTGTATGGTAGTTTTTCTAGTTTTAATATTGATCATTTAAGTTTCATTTATGCTTTTAACACATGTTGCCAGCTTTTTTTCTTTTCGTAATGCAAAGTTTGTTTTTTTTTATTTAATAGCACTATGAGGCTGTTTTTGTTTTCTTTTTCCTACTTAACTAATACAGTGCATGATTTTATGTCCTGTCAGTTACTTTAAGGCACAGTTCCATAGCTCTCATTATGTCTGATTTACAGAATGTCTTTCACAGGTTCTATTTTACACTAGCATTTAAAAAAAAAGTTGCAATATAGCAAATACTTATAAAAGGATGCACTTTATAAAACAAAGGTATGTTTTTCCCCCCTAGAAGTTGGCCTTTTGAGAATACTTGTGTTTTTCAGATTCCATTATTATGAACAATACGAATTTTTTTTTTTAGGCTTTCTGTGCTTGTGCGGAGAGTATCTGTGTATGCACTGTTTGCCTTTTAGACAGGCTGGAGAGAATAGGGTATAATCACTTTATACCCTATTAAGCAGCAGTTGCCTTTCAGCTATTCTCACAGCTTGCAGGCACAAAAAGCCCACCTAAATATTCACATCATCTATTGAAAGCAAATCAAGATAAGGACTAAAAAGAGGGAGAAGAGGGCCAGAGTGAAGGTGTGTGTGTTCCCTTATCATTTTTTAGTGCAGAATGCTCTTACTTCCACCCCTCCCAGTTTTGTATTCTCTACAGAGTCCCTTTCACTAGGAATATGTCCTGTAATCTAATTATCATTCTAGAGTTCACAGGAACAGAAAAACTTGGGTTGCCTTGATGTTTGATATAATGAGATTTTGCCTGTATGTTGTACCTGTGACTTTATTCTCTTTACTAAGAACGTTTAAAAACATCTAGCATTATAGGAAAAATAATTCTAATCACTGAAAATGGTTTTGGATTTGGTTTCGATAAAATTTATGTTTACAAATATGCTTTTAAACATTCTTAAAATTTTGGACACATTAACACATTTGGCATACATTACTAGATAATCTTCATGGAATTAACAGCAGAGGTGTGGAGAACTTTAAATTTTCATTTACAGTTTGGTAAAACCTGAGTTAGCAATATATTTACATAACCTTAACCTTGCAGTATCAGTTACTTGAGTTTATGAGACCACCTCTCTACCCTGTGTACAAAATAAATAGAAAGAGCATTATCATCTTTGACTTTCCTATTCTTTTTGTGGCTGCCAGTAGTGTGGCTTTATTTTGGGAAATATTTGTACAGAAGTATGAAGAATTCTCTCCATATGTGTTCAGATGTGCCTTAACTATGCCAAGTTGAGCACTGAATCAAGTTGAACCTAGGCTAGTTGTATCATTTTTTTTATATTCACTTTAAACACATTTATTTCTACCTCTTGCCACCCTTAATAAATTATATTGCTTTTTTTACTTGAGGAAAAGAGAAACTTTGCTGAAAATCCTTTATTTAATGGACTAGAGGCCCGGTGCACAAAAATTTGTGCACTGGGGGGGGGGCGGAGAGGGGGGACCCTTAGCCAGCC